GTGAGCATATCACTCTGGAAAGCAGGAAGCCTGAAGGCTTTAAAACTTGGAAGATAATGATAGTAAATAGATGGCTAATTCTGTTTGTTCGTGTGGGGGTTTTTTTTATCATTTTAGTTTCAGAAGGAATTTTTTGGTATTCTGTTGCAGAAATTGGATTTTCTCTTAAAATATGACCATTCAATATACTATTGATTTCTCACTCTGAAGCACAAGAATATAAAGTGTTGGGAAAAAGTGCATCTTTTGGCAATTGAGCTATCTGAACGGCAATTTAATTCTCTTAGGAAATTCTCTTAACCAAAAATCAACATTTTATAATCCTTTTATTTCAACCCTTATTTTTCCTTATATTTTAATTTATAAGTTTGGGTCATTCAAGCTAATTAATACAGTGATGAACTGAAACGTGAAGAAGCCACTTAAAGTGGCAGAGATGATTTTTACTGGGAATCAGTAGCATAGTTTTTTTGTTTTTTTTTTTTGCGGTACGCGGGCCTCTCACTGCTGTGGCCTCTCGCGTTGCGGAGCACAGGCTCCGGACGCGCAGGCTCAGCGGCCATGGCTCACGGGGCCAGCCGCTCCGCGGCATGTGGGATCCTCCCAGACCGGGGCACAAACCCGCGTCCCCTGCATCGGCAGGCGGACTCTCAACCACTGCGCCACCAGGGAAGCCCAGTAGCATAGATTTTTAAAGTTCATCTCTCATTCAAAACTTTGTGTGAACTTTCTTTTGTCAACCGGTACCTCTCACTTTGGAAAAGCAGCATCACCTGTCACCCCATTTCCCTGCCATGTACTCCGAAATTACTTGCACCGAATAGGTACAACTGAATTATTAATCAGGTCTTGTTAAGATCACTGAGCAAAAAAACACAAGCAAGGTAAGTACTGCCAACTACTATCTGTATTCTGTGAATAAAGCTGGGTGTGGATTATCATTCAAGTGCAACTCATTTATTAATAGATCAATGCCTTTCTTAGTTGTATACGTAGATGGTCCCATTTCAGTACTGATCTCAACAAAACTTTTTCAGTCTCTGTTACAGAGTACAGAAAAAGTTAAGTAGAGAGAACACCTAATCTCTTTTAATCATCCACATTAAAAAACAAAATAAAATTTCATGAAACTATTCTTCCCATATAAGTGCTGCACATACGCCAGAAGCTGATTCGGTGGTTTCACCCAAATGTAAAGCAAAACATGGGAGTGCCTCAACATAAAACAATAACTACTGTCACACATGTATATGGCAAAAACAAAACTGGCAATAGCTTGTCCTGCTTTCTTTTAAAGCATAATTTGGGCTTTACAGTCTTGTTGGCAGTGGTGTGACCTACCTGTTTTTGCTCTGGTTAAGTGCAACTAAGAAGGGTGCCTCTGTAGTTCTTGTTCTTTTCTCCAACTGTCCTGACATTTATAACTTTCACACTGAAAAGTATTTACTGGCAAATATTTCTGAAAAGCCAAATAATTTAACCACAGAAATTCTGAGCATTATTTGAATAAGAAACCAAAACTTCTAAGGTTTCATGCCAGCATAACAGGCAGTACCCAAGAGACCAGGAGTGAAATTAGATGTTATTTTCAGGTATTCATCATCTTATATCATCGTACTTCCTAGTTGTATTTTATTGGCTTATGGATTCACCTGACTGGCAAAATGTATTCATATTTTATATTTTTATTGAAGAAATTTTCACTAGATGGATTTGCAATATTATTCAATGATTCAGAATTTTTGTATACATATAGGCTTTACACTTTTATCATTACTTCCCACAGTTAGTGTAAAACAACCCCATAAGAATAATAAAAATCCCAGACGTAACAAATATAAACAATACTATGCAACTGGTATGAAATGTTAGCCAAGATGAAGGGACCAAATCAATTTCTATATAACATGTATTGCCTTTTTTTTAATTTTATTTTTTATTTATTATTTATTTATTTATTTAACATGTATTGCCTTTAAGAACAAAATTATTACTAAGGACGGTGCTGTGAACATAAAATTAATCTTCTTAGTCCAAGTTTATAAAATGTAAGGTAGATAAATTATATCATCTCTTTTTCCCCCTCTGAAATTTTTGGACTCCTTATAGATCAGTTATAGATTTGCATGGACCACTAATGATAAACATAGCACACTTTACTACAGAGTTCGTAAGATATATTTATAATGCCTATACAATGTCTCCATATTTCTTTTCATTTTCTTTCTTACTCCCATCCTCTTTTTCCTTACCAAGGTCTTTAAAGAAGAAGGCCTGTGTGTTTATGTGAACAGATATCTACATCGCATTTACATCTCCAGCATCAGCTGCTCCACTAAGCTTCAGACTTAGATACCTGCCAGACATCTCTACGTGGATGTCTGAAAAGGACCATCAATTTACTATGCCCAGAACACAGCTCTTGCATAGTCTTCTCCAAACCTGGTCCACCCCCAGAGATTCCCACCTCATCATATCACCACTGATCCGATTGTTCAAGTCCAAACCTAAGAATCCATTGAGACGCCTCTCTCTCATCCATATATCCAATATGTCAATGCTTATTGTCTTTATTCTCAAAAACATACACATTGAACTTGACAACTCCCCACTACGTGCACTGCTGTCACTTTGGTCCAGGCTGCCATCATCTCATCTCTTACGTGACCTACTCCTTACCTTATTACTGGTCTCTCTTATTTCTGCTCTTGCACAGACACTTGTATTCTCTCAGTAGTCAGAGGAACATTTTTAGAAAGCTAATCAGGTGAGGTCAAAACTCTCCAAGGGCTTCCTATCATGCTTAGGATAGAGTCCAGTGTTCTTACCATGGCCTGCGAGGCCTTGTGTGATCTGCTCTCCAGCTGCCTCTAGGAAGCCTACCTTCCTTATTTCACTGTTCCTTCCATGGACTGAGATAATTCTTGCCTCTGTGTTTTTTCACTTGTGATTTCCTCTGCCTGGAACACTATCCCCCCTGATACCTGTGTGACTTGTTCCTTCAATTAGGTTATTTTCTGACCACCCTAATTTAATAGAGCCCTACCCATACTCCCTTAATCCTGCTTTACTTCTCTCCATAGCCTTGTCACTTTCTGATATTGTATTATATATTTATTTATCATCATTTTCTCACTGGAATGTAAGTTCCATAAAAGTAGAGACTTTGCACTGATCACAAGCCAAATTCCCAGTGAGCAGAGAGAGATATTTGATGGCTCCTATTCTTTAGTTAGTTCTGTGGAAATAGAAAGGTGATAGGATATCTAAGATGAAAAGTCAGCCACCAAATCTCAGGGGAGTAGCACTCTGTGAAAGATAGGGGACTTAGCCTTAGTCTACAGAGTGACTACAGGAGGCCTGTGGAGTTTCTACGTATCTTATACCTTTCCCACTGAGCAGCTGATAGCCGAGAATTCATACACTTTGAGGAATTTTCTTTCAGTCTTCGGTCAAATTCATCGATTAAAGCTTAAAGATAGGGGACCTCCCTGGTGGCACAGTGGTTAAGAATCTGCCTGCCAATGCAGGGGACATGGGTTCAAGCCCTGGGCCAGAAGATCCCACATGCCACGGAGCAACTAAGCCCATGCGCCACAACTACTGAGCCTGCATTCTAGAGCTCTCGAGCCACAACTACTGAGCCTGTGTGCCCCAAGTACTGAAGCCTGTGCACCTAGAGTCCATGCTCCGCAACAAGAGAAGCCACCGTGTCAGAAGCCCGTGCACCGCAACAAAGAGTAGACCCCGCTCACTGCAACTAGAGAAAGCCTGCGTGCAGCAACAAAGACCCAACACAGCCAAAATAAATAAATAAATTAATTAATTTTAAAAAAAGCTTAGAGATAGAATTATGGTTATTTCCTTAAGCTGCATTCATTATAACCAAAAATTAAGTAGTTAACACCTTCACTTAATAAAGATTTAGCACAAGCACAGTCTAAGTCAAATCCCAGCAAAATCCAAATATTAACCTCATTGGGTAGGCTATGGTTTAAATACGTAATGAGAGAGGTCTTGTGGGTCTCTGCCTTAGGCACTTGAGGTTTTTTCACTTAGTGACAACTCATAAACTAGCACTGTTGAGGCACAGAATATGCGTTACCCACAAGTAGAGTTGCAAAGAGGAAGGGAGGCTGATACAAGCATTCCTTGAGAGGTGCATGCCCTCTGCTACAACAAACTCTCCTGGCAGTCACTGGGTTCAGCTGGCTTTGGAGAGGATGACAGTAAGTAATTCACTACTGGGGACTTCTAGTAGGACAAATATGTTGGATATATGGACTTTAAGTGCTAATTAATGAATTATTATTTAGTACCTGATAGGGAACGGGTGATGGGCTTACTGAATAAAACAATGTAGTGTATATATCTTAAGTGAACACCCTGTAACCAGTGAAATACATTAATTGATTAGTCAATTCTACCACCAGTCAATAAAAAATTCAAACAGTCATTTTAAACACACTTGTTTCACCTCAGGCTTCTTGAAACTGTTAACCAGGAAAGCATTATAAAGATTTGTTGAAGGGCATATCAGCCTGTTCAATTTCCCCTTATTGCACTAGACAGTAATGTCTGGATAACTATAACTTTAGTCAGTAGGAGGTTACTCTTTCAGATTTACCTGAGGAAGATTTAGCTGAGTGTTCTTTTAAGAAAAGCTCAGTCCCCATTAATTATGACTATTTCTACCTGAATTTCCAGATGACTTCGTGTGACTACTAAACAGTTTAGACTACACGCCAGAGTCCCCTGCTGAGGCAGTCACTTCATTGGTACCATAAGATCAACATTTGGTTTTATATGAATGCATAAATCCTAACTGAATCTAATTTTGGAATTTAGCAGACTAACTTATTTTTATCATCTGTCCAAGCAGTTAGAAAGCTAAGATGCAGTTACAATCTTAACTGTTTCAACTGTTTGTGTGGAAAAGACATGTTTTCTATTCAGAAGACATATGGCAGAATATAGTTATTAAAATCTTAGTCTCATACCTCTCGAATAGCAGTACAAAACTCACTCTGGAGTACTTTTTTGAGGGACTGTAGCTTGTGCACTGGTACTTCTCCAGATTCCTGCAGTTTTTCCAGTAATTCAATTGCTCTGGCAACATCTGAATGAAAAAAAAAAAAAAATCAAAATGGAGAGACATGGAGTAAACTGAATCTCATCACCAAAGTACCATCATTTCAGTGATAAGGAAAACAGTGACAATGAAAAGTAAGTGGAATTAATTGCAAAATGAGAATTTACAATTCATAGCTTATTGATCTCATCTTTTGATAAAAGGTCATTTAAATCTGTTCCACACAATTCGTCACTTAATACATCTTCCTTAATGGCATTTCTCATAAGTTATTTCTGTCACACAAATTAGTTTGAATATTCTTTCAGGAAAGAAGAGCAGGAAGCATGTCTTTTGTATATTCTGATACCCCAATAACCAAATGAATCCTGTCAATTTTACCTCTGAGATGCTTTTTTCAGTTTTTCTTTTCACATTCCACATTTATCACACCTGCATTTTTACAGTTATTAGTATGATGATTTGATTAATATGCATCTTCTCCACTTGTCGATAAACTCCTTGAGGGTAAGAACTTAATTGCGTTTATTCATCACTGCAGCCCCAGAGTCTGGTGTAATTTATGTGGTCAACACCAGGCTACGGTCATTTAAGTTTTAAGGCCCCCCTTTATCTTGGGAACAATTAAATTATACTAAGGATAACCAGCCTAATAATGCTAGGAAATTGGGCCCTATGGACAGTGCCAATATATAATTTCCCTGAAAGATAAGGACCAGTAGAGAACAGACTAAATCAGATGACCTGGGGGTATACTGGGCCGCACCTAATGGAAGAATAAAATTAATTCTTACTTATGACTTTAATAATACCGCTAGCTATGTTATTTGCACTTTACCTGTTTTACCAGATTGTTGTTTCTTGCATTACCAAATGTGTCAATGAGCCTCTGACAAAAATATATAGCTCTATATGAGATCGATGATTGTAACAGTATAACTCCAGATATGGCAAGATGCAACAAGAGGGGATTTTTTTCCTGGACTGCAACAGACTAGTAAGACAGACAGTCCAGAGACTTTTGGCTACTGTTAGTAAGGTCTAGTCCAATAATAGCACATAGTGGCCTATCAACAAAATCTTCGCCAGGCCCGGAAATGAGCATTCCTAGCACTGTGGGACAAAATGGTCACGAAATACCTCTCAAACCATGGTCGAATTTATGACAATGAGGGGGCCCTGTCACCTACAAACTGGCACTTGCCATCTACCTCCACAAGGATCAAATTATGAGCTGCTGCAGCTGCTGACCTTCAACACCCCCTGAAAGGAGTTCAAGGTGGAGGTCGATAATGAGGCCCTCTGCTTTGGGAAAAACTGGCAGAACAGGTCTTTAGATAGTTAGATATTTTCAGGAGAAGATTTTACGAGCCCAGTTCTTGCATCTCCTTGGATCTAGAAAAGCACTAAAATCCTTCATGGTGGTGTCTTCTCCTTGTGACTAGCAGTAATTTTCACAGGACCAGCAGAAACCTTCTCCAAAAAGTAAGTGCTTGATTGCGTGCTTGATTCCCCTCCACAAAAATCACACATACACTGACCTTCCCTCATACCTCTTTGGAGCAGTTTCTCAGAACTACGTGGAATGCTGTCTCCCGGGCTATAGTCCTCATTTTGCCCCAAATAAAACTTATACACACACACGTTAATATATCAAGAAACACAGTCTCTTATAGCCATAGCTTTAAAATTCCCAGGACGGTTTTGTATTGCCAAAAGGAAATGATATGATGAAGGCTATTTTAAAAATACTTATGGTGATCTCTTCTACCTCTCTTGCTGTAGTCAATAACTCACTGAAAAGTCACTTAGGCATTTATGTATAGAATAGAGATTTTCAATTCCTAAGTGATTAACTCCAGAAAGTATCCCGTATCCCTGCCATCAGATTATAAATTCATCCATCCATCCATCCATCCCTCAATTTGTGTTCCTATTAGACTCGGCACTAGCTTAACGAGACACGTTTCTGAATTCACAGCTAAATGAGAAAAAAAATAACAGTATAGCTACCTATAATAAAATTTCTACCACCTCTGAATTAGGGTGGGGTTGGTATAGGTTTATGTATCTAACCAAAGAAAATAACCAAAAAGTAACTTTAATGGAGACTCTCCTTTGACGTACTGCCAACTGATTGCCAATTGTAGCCCAAGGAAGCATAAATCCTGAAATCAGTAAGACACTGCCAGTTTCAAAAGTCTGTCCTTTGATACATAAACTGAAAGTCAACATAGTCAACTGTACCACACCAGCCACATCCACAATCAGTAAGATACCAAGCTAAGAATTGTATGCATTTCTAACTGCATGAAAGACTCTATCTAGATGCCAACAGGCACTTGGAACTCTCAACATGTTTAAAACTGTGCTCATCATATTTTTTTCCTGAAATTAGCTCTTCTCTTCTTATATTCCATATTTCCATTAATAGCATCTCCATCCAGCCTGTCTTCCAAGCTAGACCATGGCATTATCTTTCAGATTCACCCCCACATGCAACATAGAACATGTAGGTTCTATCTCAAAATGCCTTTTGAATGGAAACCCTTTGCTTCATTACTTCTCTCCTGAGGTACTGGAACATCTCCTAACTGTTCTTTAAGTGGCTTTTCTTTTACAGTCCACTGTCCACTCTGCTCCCAGAGTGATAAATCTCATTATTATACTCTCTTGCATAAAATCTCTGGCTTCCTACTGCCTAAAGGGTGAAGTTCAGACCACTTAGGGCTACATACAAAGCCCTTAACAACCAACCTTTTATGACTCATCTATAGAAACCTCGTCCTGCCCATCCTATACGTTGACCATCCAAAATTTTTTACTATTCTAGGACATGCCACAGAACACCATGTCTCTGTGACTTTGTACATATCATCCCCTGTTCCTGGAGTGCAATTAATTTATCCATCCAATAGTGCCAGGCATGGGAGACACTGTGGTAATAGAGATAGACGGTTGCTCTTGCTTTCATGGCATTTATAGGTCTGACGGATCACAGATACCCAACAGAGGGGGCATGAGCTATAAAAGCAGCTCTACAGGCTAGTACATGGATGTCTAACCAAGACATTTATCATCATCCAGGAGGTCAGGGAGGAGCTCTTTGTGAAAGTAACAGCTAAGCAGAGCCCTGGGTAGGAGGTACAGGTGAGGAAAAGGAGAAAAAAAGTTCCAGGCAAATAAATGCAGATTGAAGTCTTACCAAGAGAGTGTGGGGCATTCACAGAACTGAGAGTTCAGCATGGCTGAAGTTGAAACCAGGCCAAGAGTAGCAAGAGATGCAGTAGAGAGAAATCATATCAAGGAGGGTGTGTTAGGTCATGTAGGGAAGACTTGGCTTAAATAGCATGTCCTTAGGCATGTCTTCCCTGACTCTCCAAGGCAGATTTAGTTGCTATCATATCCATGATCCCACAGTCCTTTGTTCACTTATCCATTGTAATAATTACTACTCTCTGCTATAGCTCTTTTTGCATATCTGTCTCCATCCTTCACCCTTGCAAATATATTAGCTTCTTGAGGTCAGGAACAGTATCTTATTTGTTATTGTATCCATAGTTCAATGAGGAGTACTTGACAAATATTAGGTGTTTATATTTGTTGAATGAATGATGGATTAATTAATGAGACTAGCTAGGAAGGCAGGGGTTAGAGGTCTATGTCTAGGTGGACATATAACTAACTTCTCCTGAGACTAAACCTCCAGGTTACTGTCAGCCGCGATCAAGACTGGCTAGGGTCTGGTGTGGGGGGGAAAGGACGCAAGCCTGAATCCGTAGGCTAAAGGGTATCACGTGACCGAACTAGAAGCCATTCAGAAAAGCTGAAAGTGACTATTCAGGAGTTCTCACCCTGGACTGCACTTTAAAATTACCTGAATACATTTAAAAATTATTTATTTATTCCCCCATTTTACTGAGATATAATTGACATATAACACTGTATTAGTTTAAGGGTACAACATAATGATTTGATATATGTATACAGCAAAATGATTACCACAATAAGTTATTAATGCCTGAGACTCACCCCAAATGAATTAAAGCAGAATATATGGAACAGTGGTTCTCAACCTTGGCTGCAGACTGGAACCACCTGGGGAGCTTTAAAACCCTTGGATACCTGGGTCTCACCCCAGAGATTCCAATGAGATTGGCATGGGGGAGGCCTAGGCATTAGGCTTTTGAAAGCCATCAAGGTGATGCTGAAGTGCAGCCATGGTTGAGAACCACTGGTCTAGTTGGCATGGGTAGTTTTATAGCCCTATTTAATTCAAATGTGCATGCAGGGTTAAGAACCTCTGCTATAAATCAGTGGTTCTAAAACATGAGTGTGCCTAAGAATTACCTGCGGAAATGTATTAAAATGTAGGTTCCTGACCCCTCACCCCCACTTGAGGAAGGTTGATTCAGGAGGTATGAGGATAAGGCCCAGGAATTTGCCTTTTAAACAAATGATTCAAGTGATCCTGAAGTAGTTTCACAGACCCCATTTCAAGAGATAGTGAACAAAATGACGGTTCAGGTTTCTTTCAGCCCCAGCATTCCAGAAACACTTGCATTTTCTATTATTCTTTGATACCCTGTAGAACAGGATACTGAATGGGATTCTTCTGGGAGTCTCAGAATTATTGACAAAAGTCCATGAATGAAAGTAATTAATGTTAAGTACCAGCCCCATCCTGAAACAATGCTCCTAGCAAAGGCTGCTCACCCGGATCACCTGTGGAGTTTTAAAACCAGCCTGCTTCCCCAGACCAATTATTCAAAATCTCTAAATGTGAGATCCAGTCATGAGGTTTTGTTTGTTTCTTTGTTCTTAAGCTTCCAGATGATTCCTATGACCATCCAAAGTTGAGAAATAAAGTTCAAAAAAGAGCAATCAAAGAAATTAGACATGATCCACCATATTAAGACTTATTCAAAGCTGTGCCGGTCCTGTTACTTAATGTAATACCATAGGCCTTTTCCAGTCCTTATTAAGAGGTAACTGGGATTTCCCTGGTGGAACAGTGGTTAAGAATC